ACTAGATTGAAAGTATCCCTAAGAGCCAAAAGAGAGAAGAAATTCATGAGTGGAGTGTTCCCTCTGCCTACGTGAAAGTTTTCAGCTCAGGCGTGTTCGTCTACTACCAGGAGGGTTTCACACTTGCCGGCGCCTCCTTTACCCACTAAATCGGTTTCTTATTAGGTGTCATGAATGGTAGCTGTCCCTGGGTGCATGCACAAATGCCAAGAAGATACAGTTATCTTGTTCCCTCCCCATTCCACAGCTAATAAGACTCGATTAAGAGAGGACTATTTAAACGCTAAAAACTACAGTACACCCCACGTACAAAATAGTGACTGCGTGTCAAGATGCACACTCTATGAAATTAAGCAGACTAGACAAATCACGGGGCAAATAGGGTTAACCAGACTATACTTTCTTCACTTTTCTGGAGGGTGCTGGCCCAAGAGAGTATCTGGGGAGTTTGAGGGTAAAGAGTGAGTGACCGGATTCCAAAAAACCTAAAGGTATTGAGCAGGCACTACTCAGAGAGGGGGGTACTGGAAGGCAAAGGGGAGCTGGGGCTGAGAAAAGAAGCCAGGTCCCTTACTCCTGCTTATTGTTGCCTTGGGTGATTGTGGCAGCTCAAGGATCAAAAGAGGGCAAGAGCACCACTTGATTCTCAATCTGGTGCACAGTATGGGCTCAGGCGAGAGGATTACTAAAGATTGACTCTAAAGACTTGTTTCCTGCTCCCTGGCCAGCGGTGGAGCCCATCCAGAACTGCCTGTTTAGCTCAGGACTCAGAGAGGCAAAATACCCTCATTTCTCCAATGTGGTTCACTCTTAAAGGTGAGCTTCCTCTCACTTTCACAAAAACGCGCAAACAGAACTTCCAGCCCATGCTGGCCCGTTTGCCTGATGCTTTCTGGAAAGGCTGTGAGCAGAAGTTTAACATCCAATTAGAACTCACTTGCTAGGCTTGCATGGAGTGCAATGCAACCGCCGTGGACCTTTAATGAGAACTAGCAATGGAAAGAGGAGGAGGAGTGGGAATGTATCTCAGACCCTACTTTAAGAGACTTGATAGTAAAGCAAGATAAAAACCTGTGAGCTCAGGCAAAACCTAGCGGAAAAAAGGGAGGGTTGCAAAAGTGGCGCGAAGATAGTATCATGTGATCGGACCCCAGGGTGTCTCCTTCCCCTTTTGCCAACCTCCCCCCAGGGGGCGGAGTAGG